CAGGGCTCGTCTGAATTTAATCTCGCCTTTGACTTCTTATGTTTCCTGGGCATCAGTTTTACTTTCATCTCAAATCTCCCCCACTTGTTATTCACTGGCGGTACCCACTTGTTCCCTCATACAGCCCACGACACCCGTAATGAATAATTCTCTTCAAGCGGTGCACGATTCCTGCAGCAAAAGGCAAAGAAGCTAGACATCTTAACTGAGCATGACATGCTTAATGCATCCACATATCAGTTAGGTTCATGTGAAGACAGGTTTTGTCCATTTTTCAAGGCTAACCTTTGTAATAAAATCTGAGAATCACCTTCTTTTTGCTGAGTCATGACAGGTGTCTGGGTCTCTTTTGTGTAGGACACACTCTCGCGTGGAGGGAAGTCCACCTGTATGATTTTGGCCATTCCCAGTTTTGGAGTTCCACGCCTAAAAGCACAGAACAACTCAAACTTTGCAACACACTTTCCGTAATGATTATAACAAGAAACAAAACAGTCATTCTGCTATCACCCTCTTCTGCCTATGTAGCACGTTTCACCTCCTTACAAGTCAAAGTAAGTAAATGAGTATTTAGTGGGATGGCAAAGACTTCAGATTAGTGTGGCAACCAGTGTGAATCAATTAAAAGGTTTTGACTGACCATTCTTGCATGCATGACTTGGAACGTTTTCCTGGACTGCATTAACCGAATAAGGACTTTGGAAGACAAAGTAGTCATGCCATAGATTGAGAGAAGGGAAAATGACCAGGAAAGGAGAGAAGAGAGTGTCCAGTACCCCAGCTCAGAATCAGAGTGAAGTTGAAGAGTGGACGGGTCAGAATCCCAGTGCAGAGTCCTGGTTAGTGTCACAGCAACAAGGCAGCATTAGTGTGTGTGAGAGAGAGAGAGACAGAGAGAGAGAGAGAGAGAGAGAGAGAGAGAGAGAGAGAGAGAGAGAGAGAAGCGAGCAGGAAATAAAGTTAGCATCATGGCACACAACATGCTGATTGGATCCTAGCTCACAAATCTATTACATTGCCATGTGATCAAAACAAACTTAAAACCGGATCTGTTGTTTTTGTGTTTTTTCAGCTGAGAGATGGAAGAACGTATCTGCTTAAAGTGCACGGACACACAGCCTCTCAGAGGGAGATGACACAGGGTGTAATGTGCTGCCTGCGGGGCTGATACAGCCTGAGTGCTGTGCAGACAGCGAGGCAGCGAGGGAGAGAGAGAACCCTCAGGGAGAAAACATGACCTCCATGTGTGTAGGAAATGGCAATGCTAGCGAGGGAAATGAGTCAACACGTAGGGGGAACAGCTCCCTGGGTCTGATGGGACACTGGGGGAGCTTGAATTTCAGCCCAGGGAAGGGGGTCTAATTAGGGGTTAAAAAGTCCCCCAGGCATCACAACAGCCTGCTGTTTTATTGGTAATTTAGGATCGTCGTAATTCAATGGCACACACATTAAATAAACATGCACTCGGTTGGCATAAACTTGACATTATTCACAGCAATGGTACGAGACTTTCCAAAGGATTTTGGCTCAGTTGTGCTTCATGCAATTATGCTTTATATATATATATATATATATATATTCATAGCCTTTGTCAGGAGTTGAAACTGATTCAAAGCGTAAAAACCACACCCACATTTTACTAAGCAGTTTTCAAAATACTTTAGAACTAATTTGCTCTACAGCACAGTTGCAGTTTAAGTGGCTCGAGAGGCTGGGACAAGGACGCTGGAATTCTTGCTGGCATAACTGAGCACACAAAAGTAACTTTCTGAGAAGACATATAAAGCGCAATAAAGCACCAAGCATTGAAACATTTTGCTTCAGGTGGAGAAACAGCCATTAGTTCTTCATAAATAGGAATATTGTTCCACACTTGTAATGTACTAGAAGCTGGGAAGAAGTTTTGTTATTCAATCTGTTGCTGAGGAGTGTGTGTGTGTGCGTGTGTGTACCTGGGTCCCACGGCACCATCAGAGTCTTGGCTCCCTGCCTCACTTGGCGTGCCCGCTGATTTGGTAGTCGGAGAGATGGGAGGAGGGGCTACATTGCGAGACAGACAGTAATCATCTGTTACAGTGTGAAGACAGTCACAACAAAAAGTGCAAAATGCATCCATGCTGAATGATATCAATCCTGATGTAGATTTCATGACGGCTATGTTTTAGTGAGCATGCTATAATGTGTGCAAAGCCTCGACATTAGTAGCAAAACAAGTTAAATCAGGAACAAACTTGAGCTGTGGCAAAAGCCGCACATATTGGGAAAGAAGCTTTAATAACACACTCACACTGACTTTGTCTTTGTCGATGTATTTTGTTCTTTTGTGTTTCTAGTTTGTCTGCATCCTGTGAGACTTATGATTTTCTTATGGATCTCTTCTGCCACCTGCTGACAGCAACGCATCAGTGCCCTAACAATCCCACTAAACTCTATAACCCAATATTAATACAGTCTATACTGGTATAACAGACGAGGATTATGGGGTTAAAATGCTTGTTTTCAGCTGAGGGTGTTTGCATCCACACTAGATGAGCATTTTATATATACACACATTAATCCTATTTCTAGGGTACAGAAAGTAATAAAACAAGTGAACACAAATGATTTTTTTTCTTCCTATGGTTACATAATTTAACTGGTAATGTGAAACATACCAAGAGGGGCATCTGCAGTTATGCCCATGCTCTGTAGAATAGCCTCCGCCTCACGTCTTTTTTTCTCCAGGTCAGTATCATCCTGGTGATGTGTAGCTTCTTTCAGTTGGTCCGCCTGAAAACAGAGCAACACATCATTCATTCACTAAATCTCTAAATATCCACAATACATTGCTTTGATCTCAGACAACAAACTCTACACAACTTAAAACTTAAGAAAAGAGATTTTTGGAAAAAGAAGATGCCCAAAAGCTGGACTTAATCTAATGCCTCTGGATGAAGGACAACTTTGTGTTTACATTCTTCACTAAAGACATTATTTGTCCGTGGCTCTGTGTTGGAGGTGTAGATTTCCAGACCAGATCGCAAGGCGAAAAAGTTTAACAACGTTTTCCCTGCCGATAGCTCTGCAAAAAAATATATCAAGACAGGCTATATGGACTTATTACCGTATCTTGAGCAGAAACACTACTAATCATTGTGGTACGGTATAAAACTACAGACACTTAAAAATGGACCCAGTCAGATATTACGTAACAGTAAACGGGGACTCATTTTGCTTAGATTGTTTTATTATTGGATTACACGCAAATTGAGCGTTTGTATATACTTTACTTAATCAACTGACAAAAAAAAACAATTTTCTCATGCTAACACATGTTTGTATCGGCACAAATCACTGACATTTATAAACAGCACAAATCTGAAACCCTTGGTGATATAATTATGAAAAAGAGAGCATAAAATCAAAAATCAAATCAATAATTTTAACGTTACTTTGCATCTCAACATGCAGATATTTTACATTTCATACGTACGTCTCAGCAAATTCTGTAATAAAATATCAACTTGATAAATTACTTATTATTTATAAACAATGCTTCTTATTGGACTATCCACATGCTAACTTCCTCAGGAGGAGCCTGTCTTTGGTACCTGTCTCCCAACACAACCATCGGTTCTCTTAAGCTCTAAACTGCACTTCACTCAGATGTAAATAGTGGCCATTAATCATTTATTGCACCATCTGGACGACCGGAACTCAAAAACATAATTAAGTGTAAGGAACAGAATTTGTATTGCTAATTATTTTTTGCAATGCTCACTCTGAGCAATGGTTTTGATGCTGTTTATTCTCCATATTAATTTTTCATTCACTATCAGAGATCCTTAAAACATACCACTTGCTTCTTGCGCTCCTCCTCCTTCCTTTTCTTCTCCTCTCTGATTTGTGCCAGGCGTTGTTTCTTCCTTTCAAGCTCTGCTTTCAGCTCACTTTTGTCCGACATGATGCCACAGCTGTATACAAACAACATAATTTATTTGCCCTCGTGTTCCATTAAGAATGCATTGGAAAATATTGCATTTAAAGTTAAGTATATCAAGCATCAAGGGAAGAAAGTCAAGCGTCTCCTGACAGTTGATGCTCTCAGCTTCAGCACCACCTTGCATTACCATCCACCAGTGTTTTCTGTATTCTCTGCAGCTGAGTGAGTGAACAACTCAACACAAATACTCTCAGCTGTAATAAACGTGATTAAAACCACAGCCCGGCTGACCAGTCATTGTCAAACAGAGAGCCCCACCCTACCGTTAGCTTAGCATGGGGCTATCCTGTCTGTTTCAGTCACTTGTTTCAGGTCCTTATTACCTTGATATATACGCGTTCAAATAACAAGTCTGCTCTACCTTTCATATCGTGTTTTGTTTTACTAATCGCACCATAGTTTAATAGGAAACACTCAACGTTAGCATCCAATCGGCCTCTGCCGCTGCTAGCCTTCCTTGTTATCACGGGCTACAGAGCTAGCTTAGCGATGCTTGTTGTTCAACATGTAAGCTACTTACTGATTGAACCACGCGCAGTTTAATGTAACTCAATCAATAAAAAATGCATTACAACACAATGTTACAAGTGTGTGATACTATAGCTAATACGACATTGATGTGTAGATTACAAACCTTGAAGCAGGTTTTCGACCCGACACCAAATGCCTATAAACAAACGGGCTGCCGACACAAATACGGGTACTGGGAAGAGTCAAAAAGGAGCAATTCGCTTTGATGTATAGCTACGCTGCTGTCATCTCAGGTCAAATATGGAGAGTAAAATGGAAAGTCTTGAGCTTGATGGATAAGACTTATGTTAGTGGTTGATATTGTGACCTGAATAGTAAAATATTACCTTTGACAGGTATTAAGAACCTAGAGCACTAATAATTAATGTGGTCATTAGAACAACTACAAACTGGTGCTCTAGTATTTATACTGTGTTCTATTGTAGGGATAGTTTTCCTCTTCTCTCTGCATATATATTTCTAAATATTAAATGACTATAAGATGCTATTTAGAAGTTGCAATTATTTATTGTATAGTGTAGGTTCTGTACAAATTAAAAAAACAAAACAGATACGACAATACAAAAGGAATTAAGAGTATAGAAAGATGTATTTGCACAGTGTATGTCAATAAAGAGTCTTCCACAATCACGTGAATCTTGTTATAAAGTAACTCAGCATTATCTGCATGCGATTACAATAAATGTTATAGAAAACTAATACAAACGAAATGAAATGCATACTTCCAGGAGCACAAGAGAAAGTTATATATAGAATGATCAGCATATATAGATTTCTTAATTTTGACCTCCTCTAACCAATGTAGACTGGGTGTATATATACATTCAACACTGGAAACAGTACCGACTCCGAGTCAGTTATGTTGTAATCAGTTATCCTGATCATCTAATCTGTAACTCCTCCTCCTGACTTCCCCACAGGGCTCAGCGTCAGCTCCATCAGATAGCTCAGACAAGGCTGGACCAACTTTGCCGCTTTCATCACTTCCCCCATTGGTATGCAGAGTATGCAAGTTCTGCTCACTGGGGCGTTTCCAAGATCTTCGAGTGGCAATCCAGAAGATAAGAGCTCCAAAAACCACTAGGAGGATTCCCAGAACATTCACGAAAATTGCCTCTGGGGGAGAGTCCTTGTACTTCGGGTTGCTCCTTGGTGATGAGGATCAAAAAAATAAAAGTTATGCCTGCTCTGAAGTAGCACCTTAACATTATTTATAAACTATTATAAGCCTTTTTTTTTTAAAATACTTACAGGCTAAAAATGAGTTTCTCTGTGATGCCCATGAGTGCTACAGCGATTACACTGCCAAAGAGCAAAAGACCAGAGTAGACATGGAGGGGCATAAACGCTGCTCTCCAGGATGCAGGTGTAAATGGTATCAAGTACATGCCAACTCCAAGAACAAGCTGCCCATTGAAGGAGAAAAAAAAAAAAAAAATTCCACTTATCAGATATTGTACTAAACCAGACTGTTGTTCACTATGACTTGGCCTTTTAAAGAAGAGTAAGCTGCTTTTCGGGGTTGCAGTGTATGTGAATCACATTAGCTGACAAGAAGTAAACATGGAGCCAAGCATTTGCCAAGCTATGCAATTCTGTTAAAGTTGTCAATGTATTGTTTTGAACCAGCCCATAGTTCCATAAAATATTATCAAAGATGGTATAGGCTGAAAGTACAGTGCTTTGAAACATGCAACAATAACGCTGCAAAATGGTTAAACGATGTACTTTTTATTACCAGCACTGCAAAACGCAATCAGGGGCCTTTGTTTACCATCACATTACTTCAAACATTTTTGAAATAGAGTTTATTTACCTGCAGACAGAAGAGTATCAAAGCTGTCAGGCCCAGCCAGCTGTGCAAACTGTACATGTTGGGGATTTTGGCAGCATTGTGGAAGTCAAAAACAGCCACCATAGCTATGACAGCAAAGATGAAGGCCAGTAAGTGCAAGCCTGCGTGGATGAACTTCATCGTCAGTTTGCTGTACTGCCAGGTCCAGGGGAGCCTGTACACCACGATGGCTGCAAGAGAAGTCCCATTCAGACAAAAGTTAAAGCAACTATGATAGATATTTTGTTCATTTAGAGAATATTAAACACATTTTCAATTAAAAGAGTACAGGCATCTGCCATTACATTGCTTAAGTGAGGTTTTCATGCATGACAGGCACACATTAAAGTATGTTATGAAAGGTGTAGTTGATGGTAAACGCTATAAGAAGCCCTGCTATTGTCATATAAATTACTTGAGTGCATGCTTACTGTAGCTTAATTTGTGCTCATGCAGGCTAGACGCTCAGCCGTGTTATTAGACTGAACTTATAATTTACTCAAACGTCCCTATTTGTGGTTGCTGCACTTTCGCTTTCAGTAAATACGCACTTGTAATCAGTAGTAGCCTCTCTCCTTGAGCAACATGTCCTTGAGCGATTGTTTCTTCCAGTTGTTTACATATCTTCAAAACAACACTCACAACACTTAGTAAAGAGAAAGACTCCTCTCACCTAACCCCTGCAGGAAAATGAATCCGCTGACTATCAAGACCGGATGCCAGTTGAACTCCGCCGGTCCTCCATCCCAGGCTAAACCTTCTCTGTAGTGATTAACCCATATTCCTACGAATACTATGGAGACGATCCCGAAGGCGAAGGCGGCGGACAGAGCGACCGCGAACTGTCTGAAGTTCTCCATCGCCATCAGTGTTGAGCAGCAGCAGCAGCGGAGCAGCTCGACTTGACAACAACTTCAAGTGTTGCCTGTTGAGGAGGGACCTCGGCCACGTGACCCGGACAGCTGAGCAAATGTTTGGAGGAAACAGGTTTTGTAGCCTTGAAGATTATAGAAGTTACTGAACAGCCTCTGAGCAGTTAAATGCAAAACAAACAAAACCCTGAAGCGCTGTCATTATTTGGTGATTCATCTTAACTATACAAGTTATTGCAACAGTGCTCTCGACTTCCACCGTGATGCGTTTGCGTAATCCTTACAAGTCATGTTTTTACTAGTACTACAGCTATGTTCTTGTCCGATTTCTTTCAAGAATTCTATCTTTGTTACTTTTAGTTATTTTTCAACAATGTAAACTCAGCACACTTGTAAAAGAGGGCTCTAGTTCCTCAATGTGTGGTTTTTTTTCAGCTTAAATAAAGGTTGTAAGTTATATGTTTGTTTTATATTAATTCCTCTTCAGTATTACTTATTAGTAGTTCAGTAAAAAACAAACCTTTGCTAATAACTTCAAACTACAACATAACATTTGGGCACACCTGTAGCTTGATACAAAACCTGCAATTTCAAATGTATTTATTTGCATATTTGACAGGGACAGCATACTGTATGTTAATGAACATCGGTATAAAAACCCAAAATGTAAACTTGCCCGAGTTTGCAAGAATGCTTATTTATATTTGTAACAAATGGCCAGCTTTCACCACGCACACACATTAGTGCAGCGGGTTGTGAAAGCAAGTTGCACAATAATGCACAGTTCTGATCACATTGCATCGAAGCCAATTTTGAATATGTTTATTTGGATGAACATGGTGGAAAGAAGAATGATGCAGGATGCAGAAATACAAAGTAGCTTGGAAAAACATAAGAATTTAATTTAAAAGAAAGATTGTAAAAGTGTTCATAGACGAGATGAGACCGCACTTGTTTATCAGTAATACAGTGTAGACACCACAATGATTGAATTCATCAATGATGTTTATCTAACATAATTCACACAATAGACATGACACAGTAATCCAGATGTGAAAAACAGCAATATGAGTTTTACAGAAAAACTGTACAAAAACAGAAACAAATATTTACACTATCTTGAAAAATAAAAGCCTTATTTTCTGGCAACTGTGAGCTTGTAAACATGGCAGCAGAAGCTGGTGTTCTTCTGTTCAGTATGAACAACTGTGTCTTTGTCAAAAAACAACTCATGGCGATAAGTCTGAAACAGATTAAAAGAGCACACATGAATCCATATATACAGACACTTCCAACTTTTTCTAAGGTTGGTACAGTCATGTCAGGTCCCTCACCTCGTCCCAAGGCTCAACCAGATCCACGGTCCGCAGTAACTGCCCACTCTGGTTGTCATGCAGTCGGATTTGGGCTCTTCCTTCTCCCTCCTCACCGTTAGTAACCACCACTGCCAAAAGGTCCAGCTCGTCCTCATATTCCACGATACGGAAAGTCTGTCAAATGGATTGTTGCTTTTTGGTCTTTTCATGACATTTGTTGACAATAAAAAAAATATAGAATATGAAGAAACCTTCAAAAACATGTGAGACTGGATGTTATTCCTGGCTGCCAAAGAGTATTTCTATGTTCCACAACCACTGTGTTTCTGGATCAATAATAAAAGCGTAATCACTTACCTCTTGATCTGGGTCATCATCCAGCTGATGAAATCTTTTCTTCACTGTTCGGCCCGATGAGGTGACTGTGACTTGTGAGGTAGGCTGCAGTAGACAGAACGCCGAAATGTTAAATTTTACCCGCACAAAAACGGTCTGACCAAAGTCGTTATAGTGCACATGTGATACACACATGAGGCTGAGTCACGATCAAGGTAAATCAAGTATGTTATGAGTACAGCCTATAGATCGCTAGTAGGTAAATAATGACACTTACATTGTTGTTTCGATCGATTTTCATGGAGAAATCCTCAACTACCTTTGATGCTAAACCATTGTTCAGTTCACCAAGGATTTTCAGGACACTTAGAGGAAAAAAAAAAAAAAGAGGAAAAAATTACCGAAACATATCTCACCACTGTCTTCCTTTTGATATGTAAATGTTGACTGTAGCACTCACTTTATGATGGCAGGTCCAACATGAAGGATTCTTCCCGAGTCGTCAGGGTGGAAGAAAATCCCATCACTCTCTAGAGAGCAGCAGTTCATGTTTTGTATTCCATTTGATGCCTAACGTCATAAAATTAAACTTAACTCATCAACTAGAACATGAATTAATTGAATAGCAAACTGCCATGATCAGATAATTAGGTTTCCTCTTATAGTTCTTGAGAAAAAAACAAACAGAAATCTAACAGGAGAGTCAAATGTGATTTTATTTCACTTTGACTCTACTAACACGTGTTAGTTTCTGTGATATGTAACTGTATTTGTGCACTTCATTCTGCAAAGCATCAACAACCTGTGCACGCACCACAGTGTGGAAGATAACACGTGACTTATCTCAGTGATACTCCATTCAAACTCTGTTGTTTGAGTACAGCTTAACCACTGCACACTTAAGGAGGTGGTTGTGATAAGTGCTGCAGCTTTCTAGAGCTGTAAGGAGTGTTATAGAGCTGTTTGATACTTGGGAACATTTCAGGTGGATTATCAGTTTGAAAATTAGGTTTCTGGTAATGATGTGTGTATCGTATCATTTCAAAATGATACCACAAATGTATTTCTGTTTTACACCGAAAGCTGCAGTATTTTTTACCAGTATTTCAGGGAAAGCAAAACTATGGTTTCTTGTGTTTTGGAAACTGTGGCTGCTTAAATGGGATTTTATGTTTTTCCACACAATATATGATGCAGCCCTAGTTGCTGGCAATTGTCTCTGGTAATAAATAAAAACAAACAGTGTCATGAAAGACACTGCATCTGGAATAATCTAGAGAAGAGAATCTTGTATAAAACATACAAAAAAGATCTTCACAATGGGGTTCTGAATAGTGATTACAGGTTTGGTTCTGTTCTGCGCTGAATACAAAGACTGTCACAAACATCTGCGGCCCTTCTTACCCTGCCAGTTTCAATAGCTCTGGACAATTTGGTGGTCTATCACACAAGAAGAGTGGGATATTTGTCCATCATAGCCAAACATATGCTACATTTTCAAAATGATTTGAAACATCATGGTAAAGTGTAAAGGATTCTTTAAAACCTACCATGGTGCTGTCCTTCAGTGAACAGATGTGGTGAGTGCCCTTGTGATTTTTATGCAGTGGTGTGTAGATGTAATGCCACGGGTAGCCTCCAATCTGGACACTGTTATTAGCACATGATACCTCGAAAAGCACTGGAGGCCGATCTGCGCATTAAGACAAAAAAAACAATTGTAATGAAAAACATTTCTATTTACAGCGGCCAAGTAGATCCACTAAAATCTTTAACACAAAGACACCACCGGTCCAGACTTCAAAATGGACTCACCTGTGATCTGTATATTTACTGGGATGCCAAACGGAACATCGCCCACAGTTTTGCCACCAAGAAGTGAACTCTGCTTTCCAAGCGTTAGCTTCTCTGTCAAGTACTGAAAACAAAGAAAATGCTCATCAGCTATAAAGATCTGTAAGCAGCAGAGATGAGCCAGAAGAATAGAAAGCATGTTATATTCAATTTTCAAAAATGTATTTATGATGCAAAAATCTGATGAAATAAAATATTCAGAAACTCTTTCAAATGCCCACCCTTTGAACAATGTGCTCAAAGCTGTACAGCTTCACCGACTTGTTGCTGTAAGACACCACGAGGACACCTTGGGACAGAACAACATCGGTGACGCCATTTCCAAATACCTGAAAGAGTAAGATTTACATTTTTATAACAACACATCACTCCCTCAAGCAAACCACAAACAAAAATAGACCACAAACAAATCTGCATACCTTTTTGTTGATCTCCAAAATGCCAACAATTTGTAAGGGAAAGGCATGAAAGATGGCCAGGTGCATCACCGTATTCTGAGTGATTCCCGCCTGTGAATTAAAAACAAATCTTAAAAAGACACATTTCTGTCATCTCTTTTCCACATCAGAGATCATTTAAGAGAAGATAAGTAGTAAAAATTAACAGTTGTGCAAATCGATTTGTCGGGGGAAAAAAAGAGAAATATATTTGTACTTTATTAAGAAACTTCCACTGGTTCCAGCTTCACAAATGTGAGAATGTACTGCTTTTTATGACTTCTTGATTATTGTAATATTAATATTTTCAGGTTTAGGACAAAATTAGCAATTCAAAGACATCACCTTAAGCTCTGAGAAATGACTAGAGATACTTAAAATACCTCACTGATCATTACAAGATCTTTTATATATTTTCTTAGATTTATGCAATGCGCCTATCAAAATTGCCAAAAATCCATGTACAGAGAGCTCTATAGGCTTTATTACCCTTAATGAAGTGCCCTTACACTCTTCAATAAGGCACAAAACTTGACACATAACACACCATAACTTACGTGTCGGGCTAAAGAGGTTTCTTTGTTTTGAACAGATTTAACATAAAACATCTCTTGAGAAACATCCCAGCTGAGATACCTACCAAAAAAACAACATACAATAAGGTAAAAAGGTTTTGAAATGAACTAAAACTGAAAAACGGCTACATTTATTGATAGGAACAGAGAACTCAGGGCCTTGAATACCTGAACTTATGGTTTGAAGACAGGTAAACTCTCTGCAGCTCCTCTCCTGTTTCAGCTGAAAGGCGACACAGCCAGTTGTCGGCGGTTAAAGCCAAGAGGCTGGGTTTTTGATCAGAGGGGGAGGCTAGTGTGCTGTCCTGTCAACGAGACAAATGAAACAACAATCTGAACCTCGGATGTTAAAATCTGGTGATTAAAAAAAAATAAAAATCTGCTTCGGTTTGTCACTTACAAGTGGGCTCTGACACAGCAAGGCATCTTCAAACTTCTCCAGTTTAGATCTCTTAGGCAGTTTGTATAGAACTTGAGGCTCTGCATGAACACTGATACCAGAAGATTTTATTATTGTGTGTCAGAGTATAAACATTATTCTGTTGTCAGTGTCACTTACATGTTTACACCTGAGTGCCATGTACATAAACATCATGACAATATACACTAATTTTCACATTGCTCTAATAATAGTGCTTTTAATTTGGTCGACAACCTTAATAAACTAGGTAAAATTGTATTTATACAAGCTATGTATAAAGAGGGGAAAGCCCTGCCACCATATTAATAAAGGAAGGCAATATTTAATTTCTTCAGAGATACTTAAGATAACTTAAGTGACTTTTTAATGCCAGTTTTAAAGATGCTGCAATTCATCTGTAGCTCTAAGGTCTTATTTTGTGTGCTGAAGACTAAATATAAAAAAGTTAAACATTCATACTCACCAGCTGTAGCAGTTCTGGTAATTTTCAAAGTAGATTTTACCATTCTCATACATTATTGTAGATTTGGAGCTCTTGTTCCATACGTTAATGAAATCCCTGTTGTCCTACAATGATAAACAAGATAGCATATTGAAGCATCCATTGAAACCAGCTATACAGTTAATAGATTTAAGTATTTATTTTCCATTACCTGGAGGAGGATACCTCGAAGGACCTTCATGTTGTGTCTGATCAGAGTCCCAGCATCCCTGATACCTCTGCTCCTCCGGCTCAACAGCTCAGCCGCGTTTACGGCTCTCTTACTGCGGTACAGCGCCATCAGCAGGCGGCTCTTATTATTTCTACAAGAGGACCGTCTGGTAGCATGACGGGAGACAACAACCCAAGCTGACCACAAGAGCACAGGCAGAGCAAGGTGAGGGCGACACCGTTCAAACCCCTCACTGACTGTCCATCTGTCCGAGAACCTCCACTATGGAACCGCCTCCTTAGCTTTGCTGTTAGCTTAGCTTAGCTAACTCAAAAAGGTAACTGCTATTGAGCACGATTACCTCGATATCTTGTTTACTTCCGGGTTCGAAGGTCGTACCTGGTTTGTTATGTATGACCGAGCGTTAGTTGAACAATGGAGTTGTCCATGGGGTGAAACAAAGAAGTGTTATCAGCAGTTAAAAGTTGGTGGAATAATCTCGCATTTAACTGCCCACCCGTGCTATCTCTCCACTCGCTCCATAGTTGTAGTCTTCCTCAAGCGTCTTCTTCTAGTGAAGGAATTAAGGCACACGGCATCCATCTTGGAACATTAGCGCCCTCCTCTCCACCGTTGTTACGTTGAGCATCGATGTATAACCACCATAGACTATGATTACCACCCATCAACATTTAGTTTTGTTTCCCCTTAAGTAGCTCGGAAAAGTATATTATTTCATACTTTTTGACTGTAAATATATTTTGCTGTATTGGCTTGTTCCAACCATCTCTTAAATATCTCTGATGTTTTCATTGAATTAAATATTCAAACCAAAGACTCCTTTGGCAGCACTGTTTCATGAAATCTTCCAGATGTATAGTGCCTCATTATTCAAACATTTTATTAAAACTTTGGCTGCCATTTGTTGCATGTGTAAAGTTTGGGATCCTCACATTTTCCTGAAGAGTAAAACAATAATTTAGTTTGCGTTAAACAGCAGCACCAGTGAGTGTTCATTAGCTGTCGGTGCACTGTCAAAGCATTGTAAAATATGTTACTCTTCTTGTGTTTTTACAGAATAAATGCATAAACTGCGGAGTTTCTCTGTCGCCAAATTGGCTGGAGTTTTCAGCAGATTGTCGTCAAGACTACATAGGACAGATGGAAGACCTTCAGCTCCACTTGGGTCACGGATTCTGACCAATACTGATGACATCTTTGAGCACAACATGTGGTCAGTGATGTACTGCAGCAGTTATCTGTATATGCCTTTTATGGAGATAGTAGGATTACAGAATAGGTGTGCCTACTTTGAACAGCACGGGACTGAGATTTAGGGTTACAGTTAACAGCTTTCTGATCAACCTGCAAAACGCAACAGTGGATTTATATGTTACAGTTTTATATTTTCTGTTATTTGATGCTGTTCATAAGTTACTCTAGTTGAGCAGATGTATCAACAACAGCATTTGTACTGCTTTATTTGTTAGGGATCACGTGCAATGGACGGAAGAGGAAAAAGAAAACGCACGACAGAAGGCAAAAGAAAATTCCTGCATACACATTCCTTTAGAGGAACAAGGCAAGAATGTTTCCCTGCAAAAATAGGTTTCCAGGTTACATTTGAATGGGGTTAACTTTTAGGAAAATATCTCCTCCACACAGGTAAATTTGACACAGAGGCTTGCCAATACTGGGACAAGTTTTACAAGATGCACCAGGAAAAGTTCTTTAAAGATCGCAAGTGGCTGTTTTTAGAGTTCCCAGAACTGCTTCCTTCAGGTGCAAAAAGTCAAACCACAAACGGGCGTCTGGGTGATCAGCAGGCGTCACTCCCGCAACCGACTGGATCCAGCACAGACACAGAGACTCGACACCGGCAACACAACGGACCCACACACCATCACAGAAATGCAGACACCCCCAATCATCAGACAGAGTCCGGTCAGGGAGCAGCACCGGATAGGAATGAAGCTGCCATACAAGCTGCTACTTTCCCTGGCCAGCATGCATCCTTCAGGATCTTGGAGGTTTTCAAAACTGTTCACATGTATTGATTTGAATTCTGATTGTTTTAATATAGATTGTTGCATGTGGACTATTACACAATTGTGGCAATAACAGGCTGTAAGATGCTATACTAAAAATGTGAGATAACAGCACTTAAATAATAACAAATACAATCAAATATTTTTCTACAGGTCGGATGTGGGGTTGGTAACAGCGTATTTCCCATCGTTAATTCCATAAAGTGAGTAAATATTTCATATATTCCATTGAAGTTAACCTTTTCAACACCATCAATGTGGATCATGTCAGTTTTATAGTGCAACACATGTTTACAGAAGCAAAACATTCAAATGCACACAATACTGGGCAGTAAAATATAGTTATCTTTACCATTTTATTGTTATGAGTTCATGCACCATAACACTATCCAGCTCCTCAATCAGCACAAAACTGTGGCTCACCATGAATGATATATCATAGTATAACAGAACTATGCACAAGAGCAAGATACAGTCAGTATGATTACATTACATGTGCCCACATTGCTTGTACTGTTAAAATACACTTGACTGTTGAAAAACATTATATACTGAATTTGAGATACAAACTGCAACAAATGTGGGAACTTAAATCAAAAATACATGTGGCATTAATCTGTGTATCATTACAAAATACTTTTAACTGGCCTTTTCTACAGCAGACATTTGACTTGATAACATTCACAATGGCTCTGTTCTAATCAAGTGTCCCAGTAAGCCACGACAGTGTGAAAGTGAGCCAGCATGCACAACAGCAGGACCCTGACCCGTCTTTTCCTACTGTGACATGTCAAAATGTCTTCTGAAAAGAAAGGCCCTCTTGTGCTTCTTTACACAAGGACTCCTGGGTGGCTCTGAAATCGCTTAATCTGCACTGAAATCAGTTTCTGGGTGAAGAAATTGGTGAGAAAGGAAAAGAGGAAGCATTTCGTTGGTATTGGGAAGGACTTCAGGTTTTAGTTGAAGCCATCATCAGTGGTGGGGAGAAGTGCAGAGTGTAACACACCCTGAGAGTTTCTATGCCAGTTTATAATTTGATAGTTTGTAATTTGAAATTGACCATGTGGCCTTTAACACTTTTCACTTACTGTTTCTGTAATGTTCTGTCCATATGTTTTTCCAGGAAGGCATTTATACAATTTTTGGCAATAAGTAAAGGTGAAATCTTGGCTTCCGTGAAAGGAAAAGTGCAGTTGCACTCTATTTGTAATCAGTCAAAGGTTGTTAAACTGTCTGTTCTGTTCCATAGAGAAACAGACGTATATTTATACTGTTGTGACTTCTCCCCATGTGCCATTCAGCTGGTCAAGGTGAGCTTTGCTAATTTTGCTCGGTATGAACATGCACAGAATAAACTGTATTGAGGTCCATGCATTTTTTCAAAGCAGACTCGTATCATGTATGTATGTATATGTGTGTGTGTGTGTGTATATAATTTAAACACAGCCAAAGCTATATGAAGTCAAACTAGCAGTGGTGTCTTTATGGTACCAACTGTGATCATGTGGACAGTACATTGAGGGTATTTCCATCATATCAGATTAGTATTCCTCCATGTCATGAACTGCTAAAATATTTAGACAGATTACATGAACTTTTGATGAAGTAATACATTTAATTCATTCATTGTAAAGCTGTTGTTGATGTCAATCTTTAAGCTTTCAAAAATGTCCATTCAGATTAGTTTTTATAGTTCCGACCATTGTTCCCTCACACAATGGGACACTTGAATGTACTGCAGAATAACTGAAAGCTCTGCCTAGTAGCTACAGCTGAATCAATCAATTAATATGTTAAGGAGAAAAGAGAATCAAAGTGGTTTAAATATAAAAGATCTTTTTATTTTGGGTTTGGCAAATAACGAATCTAATATTAACTCATTTTCATCTATGAAAAAAAGCCTACTTTATTTTCCTCATATAGGACCATCCAGACTACAATGACTCTGTGTGTCACGCATTTGTCCATGACATTTGCGAGGAGATGGCCTCCTTTCCATTCCCTCCTCGGAGCCTGGATGTTATTCTGGCAGTCTTTGTGCTCTCCTCCATTCATCCGGAGCGGTAGGTGAAAATTAAAAGACACAGGAGAGCCTATATCATTTCTCAGCTGTCAGGCCCCTCCACAACCAATAAAACACCCCCGTACCCACCATCACAATTAGCTTTGTCTAAATCATTACAGTCCTTACATAACCTAAATATAAATCTAACCGTATTGTGTCACTGAGTGCAACGTATTAACTGTACAGTGGTTAGGTTGACATTTGAGGGGTTGTAAATTTACATTTCACTCACAGAATGCAAGGAATTGTGAACCGACTATCTACATACCTGAAACATGGAGGGACATTTCTCTTCCGTGATTATGGGAGATATGACTTCTCACAGCTCAGGTTTAAGAGAGGTGAGCCTCCAACTTACTGAACCTAATTTGTTTAATATTCTGTATACACTTCTGTGTATGTGGAGTGTTTTTGACAATTGAATATATATTTACTTGTTTAACCTTTTAATCTCTTACAATCAGGACGGTGCTTATCAGAAAATTTCTATACACGAGGAGATGGAACCTGCGTGTACTTTTTCACTAAAGGTATTTCTGAACCATGAGATCTTCATCTCATCACTAATAGTTGCTGACAAGACCGAAGCTACTTTTGAGGACACGGGTGATGTCCTTGGTATTTTTTCAGGGGATTTTGAGGTTTTAGGAACCTTGTAGGAGTTAACATACATGGGTGGGTATTTTGGGGTATTGGAATATGTTGATGCAGTATATTTAAAGGTTCTCCATACGGGATTCAGGGCATTAGTATAGCAGCAAACAACTATTTGCTTTGTAAAGATATAGTGGAATAATACCTGAGCAGTGAATGAAGTCACTCTGCCTCTGTGTGTGTTGTAATGCCAGCTTCTCTGTGCTTTCTTTACATTTTAGTGCATGTTTGTCCATATGAGCGGTTTGCTCTGTCAGCACCGCTAGTTATGTTTGCACTGTTAGGGCCATTAGCACCCTTAGCTGCCAGCCGCCAGCTTGCAGCTATGCAGAGGCAATGAAAGTCTATTTATTTATGTATTTAGCACCTTTAAGCATGGCTATTTTAAAATTAAAATGTCACATTTTTTTCTCTTTTTTTACAGAAGAGGTTCATGATTTATTTTCCAGTGCTGGACTGGAAGAAATTCAGAATCTGGAGGACAGACGACTCCAAGTGAACAGAGGAAAGAAAGTTGCAATGCACCGAGTTTGGATGCAGAGCAAGTACAGGAAATTATATCCACCTCCACCATCTTAACATCCCACTACGCACTGGCCTTTTGTTTTATTCTTTGCTCTATTCATTCAATCCTGAAAAACTGTTATAACCAAATGAGTATGTGTTCTACCACAAAACTGTATGCAATAAACATGTAAAATAAAGCTACATTATTTGGTTTTGTATACTGTAGATCACTGTATATCATCCTTAAGTTGTGCTACATATTACAGATGGGAAAAACAAAACTCATCTCAGAAAACGAAACAATAGTTTTTGCATGATAAAAAAATACTTGTGACATGTTAAAATTCTGACACAAATCAACATTATGAGATATGGCAAACTTTTGACTTAATTAGTCAAACTTAAGGTACTTAATTATAAATTATAGCATGTATTATGACATATATATTTTACTTATCTCAGAATTTTGATACAGCACATCATAATGTAACACACAGCATGTGTTAAATGTGCTAACACACTGACTGTGTTGAAAGCAACACAAAATGTGTTGTCCTTAACTAGACAGGCAGGTGTGTTAACCAACATTCACACACCGTACGCACAGCTACGGGAACAATTTTGGGGTTCAGTGTCTTTCCCAAGGACACATCAACATGCGACTAGCGGAGCCGGGGATCAAACCACCGATCCTGCTCTCTACTAAGCCACAGGTGACATCCTGCTCCGCTGGGCTCTGTCGCTCTATGATCGGGGGAAAGTGACATGGCCCTTCGCAAAATTCACAATATGGAAGTAGTGTGGCCTCGGGCGACTCCTCCGGTGAACCAGCACCTCCACGAATATTTTGGGCTGCAGGTCCCGTGGGCTTCTTTTTGATGAGAGCACGCAGTACGTTAGCTCCAATGATGGTGGTTTTCTCTGGCCCAGTCACAACCAGCATCGGCACATTGAGTTCTTGTTCCTCCGTGTCGATACTCAGGTTGGCTTGGATCCACCCAATGACACCAGCTATAAATGGAATCGACCCTTGGCCGCTGTTTAGCTCTGCCAAAGGTCTGACCTCATTGGTGATGTGTTTTTCTGTCCATTCAGTGTGTACATATGACACTGCGGATCCAGAATGCAACACCGCCTCTGTGTATATTCCATTTAGTTTGCAAGAAACGGAATAATTGCAAGACTTGATGGTGTAACCTTGCATAGCATTTTTAGTGAACGCGTGCGCAAGGTAATGTATTGCATTCTGGCCAATTATGGGAATTTTCGGTTTGCTTCCCTCCACGACACGGAAATGCATTGAAGGATGCGTGTGGGGAAATGCGCCTCCATGAAATCTGAACCACAGCTTGGTCCCCCCAATAACCGCCACAGTCCTCCTTATTCATCACCGTGGCAGGTTCGTCTTTGGATAGTTTGAGGTTTGGTCTTTTGACATGTTTCTGCCAACATGCTTTGCTGATCAGAGAGTGTTCAGAGCCACAGGTCCACTCTGTCTCCATTCAAAGGCTCACCCAAGAAGGCCTGCTGGTATTCCTGAAGACCATTCTGTTCCAGCCAAAGAGAGACCTCGCCAACTGTCCATAGATTTGCCATTTCCTGTTGAGAAGAAGCATGTACAAAATAAAATACAATGAAGCTGCAAAAATCAAACTTATATAGTTAACATATGTTCACATTATTCTTTGTGACTGTATGACTATAGTGCTTAACCCAGTGGTTACTTTTTCTGTCAAGCCCCACTTTGGAGGAAGAAAAATGTTCATGCCCCACCGCCCCAACAAAATTGTAACAAAATGGTCCATGTTGAACTTTTATTGAAATAATAACATTTTGTGACTCCTCCATCTGTGCTTTTTCAAATAATAGAATAAAGAAAATTGCAATCACTTTCAAGTAAACCAGATTGCGCCATCAGACAAAAACAAATACAATGTGCAATCACTTTGTTAGAACAATGCAAATAAAGTTCTATCTGTGCAAAAAAACAACTAATATTTGGCAAAACAATAGCTTATTGTGGCTGCAATTCACCTGTTTTGCACTGAATGTCTTTACAAGATAATAACAATAAAGTACAACCTGTGAAAAACAAAACAAAACAAGTTCAAATATTTGGCAATAAAGAGTTTTACTGAGTTTTACACTGCATATCTTTTCAAAACAACAATAATGTGCAACCTGTGCAAAACAAAACAAAATGAGTGCAGATATGTGTGAGCCATATGCCCACACATACCAGGAGCATTTTATTTTAAATATGAGGTTTAAAATGTAGCATTCTGGTGTACTCTGAGAAGAAAATTAAGTGATAAGACATTTACTTTAAGCAAAAAAATAATTTATTATTCAGTTATTAATCAGTATTTCAGCTCTATTATTATTAACCTTTAAAAGTTTTAGTCATATAAAAACAAAGATAGCAAGAGTAGCGAGAACCATCGCCTATACAAAATAAAGTGATTCGTTTTCATTGAACCCTGTTACTGTATGGGTTAATTAACTTCTACCGTTACTGTAAAGCTGTTAGAATAGCTCTTTGACCACATCATCTCATCAGTATCTGGGCCTCATGTTTCGTGGTCATAAAAGTTATCACCACGAAATCGCATCATTCTACTTTGAGTTAAAACAAACAACCTGCAACCAGATGCGCCGGTGTTCGGGTTTAACGTTAATGAGTGACCGCATGAACTGAACCGGAACACGGGGGGGACGTTACATTACGTTTTTTCCTCCTAGATCGCGATAATGACGAATGTTAACAGTCCACAGAGTTCCACATGCAGTGGACGTTAACTTAACCCAGCAAGTCTGAACTGTAACGGAACATAACGGAACATAAACTTTAACGGAGGGAAAGACGGTGTAGACATCTTAACACTGATTGGCCAAGACTCGACACGTCACATCAAAGATGTTTTATTGTGAAAATCACGACATTGCCTTTTCTCCTTGTCTCACTCCAATCTGAGAAACGCTGGCTGGCTGGCTGGCTGGCCAGTTGACCCCCCCCCCCCCAAAAAAAACAAAAAACTCTACGGATCTACACGATTCACGTGGATGATATATTTTGATTCAAAACGGCGACAAGTTTGCAGGTATGAATAAAGTTCTTCAAATAAAAAAATTCTGCATTTCCCCCTGCGCCCCACCTGCAATAGCGCCCCACTAGAGGGGCGTGCCCCACAGTTTGAGAACCACTGCTACAACCTGACTATCTTACCTCCCAAGCCCAGGCTGTGGGATGCAGCAACAGGTATAGCCAACTTTGCCATCTCCTCCTCCAGATGTCAAAGAAAGACGTTTCACAAGTTATCCGAGATGAAGGTGGGGGGGGGGGGGGGGGGGGGGGGGGGGGGTACACTCTGTTGGAGATTTTTAAATGAAAAAAAAGCAATTGAGAACAAAAGGAGGGATTACGAGTGTGAACTTATAGGAGACACAGAAAAGATAGTCTCATCTTGTGTATAATATAATAGCTTCACACAACTGCGGTCCAGTCAGCAGACACTCAGATCTCCGTGGTCAACTCAGCAGACACTTAAATTTTAGTGCACCTATATGCTGAAATTCACGGTAAACACGTACAATCTATGCATTATTATTTATTATAATTATATTAGTTATTTCTGGCCAATTAAAAAAAAAGAAAATCCATTATGCTTGACTAAATAAAAAGCTCAATTAATAAACCCAATTTAACTTTCTATCCACAAAAACATGCCGACAGCCCTCTGCATACTCTCAATGCAGAGATACATTTGCCACTGACATTAGCAGCACATGTGTTAATTTGAACTTTGTATTGACAGATACTGTGATAAAAGTATACTATTATCAGAAAATGTCTACAGCTATCTTTGCACTTGTTTGTACTACAGCACATTAAACAGTGTCCTGCTTCTTCCTCCACAGCTGATCAAAAAGCATAAATGAAAGCTCGTTTGTGGTGCAGGGCCGAGATCCTTCTTGTGGCACTGGCACCTCTGTGGCACTCAGCGGCACGCTCTCTGGCACTTCAGCGGCAAGCGTCAGCTGTGGCAGGCCAGCGGTACTAGTTCGGCACCCGTCAAGAAGCGGCGGAGCTGAGGGGGCGGAGCCACATTTCCTGAGAACACACGTTGTTGTTACAACAGGTCAGCTTACATATAAGCAGAGGAAGAGTGAAGATATTTTCAGACATATATTTTTGGATTGGACATTTTATGGGTTTTAATTATATATA